AGGTATGTTCTTTTAATATTTAGTTTTAAATGAAGAAATTAACTAATGTATAATACAAAAATTTGAATTATAATCTCCAATTTGATACACAACTTATTGACATACATTCATAAAATAGTAGTTGAATAAAATTTTGAATGCAAGTCAACAAATGACATGGCCTTTGACCCGTGTCGATAGGGTTAAGCAAACCTTCAGTAAATATTACAAATTTTTTCGTCCACAAAGAATCAGATTTTTTTAAATTAAGTATTTGTACTAAAAATTTGTTTGTTTGAATATATGGAATCAAAGTATCTGAGTGCAAAATGATTTTAATGTTAAGATTAAAAATACTTTTTTCTTCACCCAAAAATTGTCAAATTTCTTTTATGTAATCTCTAAAACCTCCTAAATAAATATCAAACTTTTTTTTTCAGTAAAACTTTATATTTTATCTGTTATGTTCTCTACCCTAACTCTATAAGCATTTGGTCAATTTGACCGACCTTGTAATCACAGTAAAAAATATTAAATCTAAATTACCCTTTTTTATTTTTAGAATGACTGCAAATTGTAACAGAAAACTACAATTGTTTATCATAAATATCTTAAACCTCATAACAGTATACATCTGTTTATACTTAAAATTTATTGCTCTTTGAACCAGTCTAACTAATACTCCCAAAACACAAATTGTAAATTACTCGGCGAATGTATAGTTCAAGTTACTGTATTAAATTGTGTAATGCACAAGCTGCTGGTGATCGTATGCTGTGAAGAAATATTATTCTGATACGATATTTTACTTCCTTTTGACTAGTACTGCCCTCTGTCGGGCCAAGTGTTCAACACACGCCAATAGCTTTTCACCTCCCGCTTCTGCGTATCTACATGCAGCAGCTCTTCACCAATAGGAGTGCAACACCACTCTTGTAACCAGTGCCCTCTTCGTGTCTGCACTCATTAATCACTAGTGCTATTAAAGCAAATCTTAATTAAAATCTTTCTCATAAAATGAAGAACTTAAAATTTGTGTAATATTAAAATTTGATTTATTAGCTACATTTTGATGCTAAATTTGTTCATATATAATGAAAATAAAATAATTTAATTAAATTTTGAATGTTACTCTTAAATAAAAAGTCATGACATGCACACTTTGACCTACTCGTAGCAAGAGGATTAAACGATGCGACTTGTTTGTAATGAAGTTAGGAACTTCAGGTCAAAGATTTTAATTGTGAAACTTTTATTTATATTCTAACGTTTCCATAGACAGTAAAAAAAGAAGACATATTTAGTTTCCAAACTTTTTCTTAGATTTGAATAGGGTAGCATGACCCACAAATTATTGATGTTTTTTATACTGTTCACCACAAGTATGGTCACATCATATTGAATAATTTTGTTTTTGTCTGTTAATCACTTAATGAAAGAACTAATGAAACAGTTAGTTGAAGTCATTAATTTTGTATGTAAAATATATAATATATTAGGGTATTCCAACAGTAAATAATAAGACTAAATGCAATATTGATAATATTTTTGTTAACATTTTTAGTCTGATTATTATGTTATTAGAGATCCTGTAATAAACAAAATAAAAGACTGAAGCAACTAGTTGATAAGTATTATTAAAAAATATTTAAAATGTCAATAGGGTTTATCAATAATTCTAGCTTTAAACTTTCTATAGATTGTAGTAAGGAAACTGAGAACTTTAACTCGAGTTTTGTAATGGCATGGAAAACTACACATAACTACAGAAAATGGAAAAGTGGAAATTATTTAGGAGTCTTAGAAGTTAATCCAGTGTAAGTGGAAAGTCTTTGTTTTGAGACTTGTTAAATGTTAAAAGATAATTATTTTGAAGATATATTAAAGAACATTAAATACCTTCGTATACTGTAAAAACAGATTTTGTGACATCAAAAGATATACTGTAAAAAGGAAAAACAGATTTTGTGACATCAAAAGATATACTGTAAAAAGGAAAAACAGATTTTGTGACATCAAAAGATATACTGTAAAAAGGAAAATAGATTTAGTGATTTTTAGAGCCTCAGTGGTCACTTTTGACTGAACTTAATGCTGTTAAGTATTTCTTAAACTTAATTGAATATTTATATAAATATGGGATGTTTTTCTCACAAAGTTTGAAAATATGACATTATTATAACTTCAAAGTTAACATACATTCTTAGACACATGTTGGTAAAAATCAGGTTAGTTTGTTAATCATTAAAGATCATGTAGATGATACTTGTAGTCCTATTCCCAATTTTTCAGGATTTCTTGCCAGGCCTCAAAATAAAGCAGTTATACTTTTCAAAATTTAACAGATGTTCAATTGGTAGCTTAGTTTAGAAAGTTTTAAACTACCAGCCGTAAAACTTTGTGTATAGATTGATTAACATGCCTCTAAAACAATACTGATAATGATGTATTAGCTGCAGTTAATGTTTAATACTTTTAAGTAAATTAATAGAAGGTTTTTTTGATATGTTATAAAATGCTATTAATTTCTTCTAGGCATCCTTTTCATGGTCAGCTGAGTGTTTCTGATATGAAGCTTCGACTGTCACAGTAAGTTTGGACTCTTGTTCTGCCCTCGGTGCTCTACCCATTCCTCCATAATAATTTTAGTCAATAAAAACAAGTAAATATTGGGAGATACTCTTGATTTCTATTTACATTAATCATGTAGTGTATTGACATTTTTAATTTTTCTTTATTTAATTTCTATTTACATTAATCATGTAGTGTATTGACATGTTAAATTTTTCTCTAGTGCAATGCAATCCTCAGAAAAAGGAAGAAAATTGAATCAAGCAGTCGTGAGCACAGGAAAGGTTGTTGGTACGTGACTACATGAACATGAGAATAACGTACTATGAATATATGATTACATGCATGAAGTTTGATGCTGTGTTCTCGTCTACTCTTGATGTGATTGCTTAAAATGATCTTTTAGTAATATTTTATTTGTAATGTTTTATGGTATATAATTTTGTATTAGTAAGGTGTTACTTCTGAACTTCTTGGTTCCTATTTTGTATATTACAACCAGTCACCAACTGGTCATATTATAAAAGCCTTCGTTCAAGTATACCTGTTAATAATGGTGTAGTATATTACATACAACAACATTTATATATAAAATTACTGTTGAAAGAGAAGTTATGAGCATATAGCTAGGATGAAATTTAAAGTCTGTATTAGGACCCGTAATCCTGCTTCTCGTTTTTCTTTTCCTAACAATTACAATTAGGAAAAGACAACTTTCAACTTAAGAAAGCGTGTACTTTTACTTTATGTAAAAAAACTTAACTTCTAAAAGACGGTAATAAAAAAAACATTGTCACAAACAACACATCTGAAAAAAAAGTACATGAATATAGATTATTGTAAGTTAATCAATTTAAACGTTATTATTAACGAGGTTGTTCTAAAACTTTAAATATCATACAGGAGGTGCTTGGACAAGTGCTAAGTCCATGATGTCATCTTGGTGGTCAAGTTTGGGAACCCCTTCTCAAGATCTTGTTACCAAATCTCCACTTTATTCTGATTTCAATTTGGTAACAAAAACCTACCAAGGTGAAGATGAATCCCAGCAATCCAAAGATTTAAACTCCAAGGTGCCAGATTCAGCTACTGAGGGCTGAAGTTGACGTTCTGGTCAAAATTGAGTGGTCATTCTTCAACAGACTGGACAGGGCATAGTAAAGCTAGTTGCAGTAAACCTCATAGCTAATTGTTTAGCAGATTTTATTAGCATATTTATATCTCTGTTTTAGAAGAAAAGAATGTATGAATGAAGTAAAGGGTTCTTGTGATTTTCAAATGAAACTTGGGTTCGAGCTATCTAATGAAGTCATCAGAAACCAAGATCTATTTCTTCCAAGTGTTGAAATCTTGATTTGCAACCAAACGTACAGTACCACTTTATAAATCATGGGTTATACAGTGTTACTTAGATTCATTTTAAACACAATATTTCATTTTAGTGAATTCAGTAGTTTTCTTTCTGAATCATGGAAGCACTAAAAGAGATCATTACAAATTAAACTCCCACTTAGGTTGTGACAGTTTGGCTTTAATTTTACTTTATGCAGTTAGGCTGTGTTTCCAATGGGCATTGTCTCACTAACAAATAAAATATTCTTCACTTGTACAGAATAGAATTTTATCACCGTAGTGAATTATTCTGAAAATAAAATAAACGTTATGTATACTCCCAGACTAAAGCAACTTCAAGTAAATAAAAGCTGTGACTAAATATTGTATTGGCAGATTTACTTATCGGTAATACACTCCCTGTTTATACACATTATTATTACACATGCACTTGCTTACGTACCAGTATTACCGTCTTCCATGTAACATAGCATTGTAGTTTAGTTCAGTGTTTCTCAACCACCGGTGCATCACAACCATCCTGCTGGTCTGTGAGATTTCATGAAAACAAACAAACCGAAATAATATTGAAATGGTTTTTCCTTGTATTTGAATTTTAGTGAGCTGTTACCTGGTAATAAACAGGTTGAGAGATGCTGGTTTAGTGTAAATAGTGTGAAAGATTTAATCCCTTCTTTAACCACGTAACCTTAAGGTAAATAATCCCTTCTTTAACCACGTAACCTTAAGGTAATTAATCCCTTCTTTAACCACGTAACCTTAAGGTAATTAATCCCTTCTTTAACCATGTAACCTTAAGGTAATTAATCCCTTCTTTAACCACGTAACATTAAGGTAATTAATCCCTTCTTTAACCATGTAACCTTAAGGTAAGTGTAACTTTGGTAGCACCACTGCCTGAAGGGTTTACCTTTTAGAAAGTACGATTATACTGATTGTTTTAGGTAAGATATTATGTGTAAGGATTAGTTCCTTGTTTACTTTCAACAAGTCTGAGGTATAGTTTCTTGCAGACCACATACAGGATGGTTACTTTTAAGATACTGAAATAAATGTTTTCAGTAGGATATTACATGGAAGGATTAGTTCCTTGTTTACCCTAATGTAGCTTCCACTGTTTCAGTAGTGATACGCCACGTGGGTTTAAGAACTTTTTTCCACCGACTAAAATTTAATGTCAGAAAAGTCTTAGAAAAATTCAGTACTGGTTTTCTCGTACAGTTTGGTAATACATACACTAATGTTTATTTTCATGATTTAAAGACACAACTTTGACACTTTGCTTTTTTATTTTTTTACCCTCATCTACATAAAATGGCACTGAAGTTTGGTGAGTGGGAACCATGATTAAAGAGTTTACTACTTTGATGAACCTAAACCTGATAGTATAGTACCAAACCCTAGTTTTAGTACACAAATACAGCTTAAAAGGTTTAGAAATTACTGAATTCTAGTTCGAGTTTACCAACACAATCTGGAGAGTTTGGTACGTGTACCTTGATTACCCATACCCTGGTGATATGATACTGTATTCTAGTTCTGATGTATTAGCATGGCCTGGAGGGTTTGGTACATGTACCTTGATTACCCATACCCTGGAGATATGACCCCTCCAGGCCATGCTAGTACACCGGAACTAGAATACAGTATCATATCACCAGGGTATGGGTACATGTACCAAACCCTCCAGGCCATGCTAGTACACCAGAACTAGAATACAGTTTTTGGTACATGTACCCATACCCCGGTGATATGATACTGTATTCTAGTTCTGGTGTACTAGCATGGCCTGGAGGGTTTGGTACATGTACCCATACCCTGGTGATATGATACTGTATTCTAGTTCTGGTGTACTAGCATGGCCTGGAGGGTTTGGTACGTGTACCCATACCCTGGTGATATGATACTGTATTCTAGTTCTGGTGTACTAGCATGGCCTGGAGGGATTAATCTCTTGTTTACATTCATTGAACCTGAATATGATAAGGTATATTGAGTCTGGTACATTCACAAAATTTTGTGACATTGAGCAGTTTGGCAGAAGATATTATAGGAGAGATCTAGATAAAATAAAGCCATCGTGTAGCAGTGTTGTAATATTTCCCAAAGTTATATGAATTATGTATTCGCACTCTGTATTATATATATATGTGTGTGTGTGTGTGTGTGTTCTTGTCTTATTGGGAAGCCTACGCTCTTTTATTTTCTCATTGAAAAGTTACTTACCAGATTAAGATAACTTTTAGCTATTTATATATTGGAAATAAACGTTATCAATTGTACGACATGAAAAACTGTCACGTCTGTTGTTAAAGGTAATCTTGTCTGCCGGAGCAGTTACTTTGTATTGTGGTGAAAAGGGGTTTCTTGTGTAAACAGTATTTTGGCAGGGAGCTACATATAAGTATTATGTATGTTTTGAAGTTATAGACACACATATGTAAAAAAAAATATACGATTGTTGTTAATGTAAAGTCGTTTATCTGTTGTAAATGAGTCGATGTTTTATTAGCTGATTTTTGCCATTTAGGGTAGAGAGTAAAATAATGTATTATGTATGTGTAAAGAATTAAACAATGTATTTAACAATCTTGAATATGATCTTTTCAGACAAACAGGTCATTATACTACTTTAATGTTATAGTGAGAATCTGAGATTATATGTTTGGTTTTAACAAGTATTTTTTTTTATTGTTCATTTTTGAAGTTACTTTTATTATTTGTAACACTTGAACTTATCTATCCTATTTTTCTTGCTCGTGTGTTTGGTATGTTTTTTTTAATATGGAATATTGTCTGTCAGTTTTTATAATAATAATAACTTTTACGTTATATCTGTTCTCTACGGTAACCTTCTGTGTCAACTATTCAGAAATGACGTACGAAAAACAATTGATAAACGTAGATATTTATGTGAAGACTGGATAAATTTTAAAATTAAAACATTGTCCATTTTTGGTAGCCAGTTGATGAAAAAGAAGTTTAATGGGATGGCATAGAGATGGTGAGTAAGAATTAAGTTTAATGGGGTAACATAGAGATGGTGAGTAAGAATTAAGTTTAATGGGATAACATAGAGATGGTGAGTAAGAATTAAGTTTAATGGGATAACATAGAGATGTTGAGTAAGAATTAAGTTTAATGGGATGACAGATGGTGAGTAAGAATTAAGTTTAATGGGATGACATAGAGATGGTGAGTAAGAATTAATAAATGTGTTAACAGTCAAGGATAATGATGAGATGAGGCCTTAATTTATTTGAAGCACGTTCTGTTGCTGAAGATGAAGGGCTACATCGGCAGTAAAAAAAAAGTTGATATTAAAGTAGATAAAAACATGTTTGTTGCCAAGGAACAAATAGTAAATCCTGTGATTTGTACTCTGTTTTAAAATTGCTTGCTAGAAGGTTTTTTGTTGTTTTTTTTTCATATGCAATACAGTATTAAACCATGTACGTTTTTGTGTGGTAATGTAAGATCAGCGTTTTCAACATGTATAGATATTAGTCATAGTATAAGATTTTGCTTTTAAAAAAAATTGATTAATTGCCCACACGTCGGTAAAACTGGCGATAAAGTGTTAAAGCTACATTGTTATGTTCGTATTGACAAAGGAAAAACTGAACTTGTACTAAAAAAAAATGTAGAATTAGGACATAAAATCCTAAAACAAAATTATGTGAATGTATACTCAAAAATATATATATGGTCTAGCATATGTAAATAAGATATAACTATTGTATGACTTTTAAGTTGTAAAGCTTTAATGAATTTAATGTTTACCTGTATAAACATGTAATCAGAATGTCTGTTTATACAGCTTGTGACACCGCAAGAATAAAAGTAGAATTAACTCGTGTTGACATTATTCTTTCCCTGGTACTTATCTCTAACGTTTTGCTTCTCTGAAGCCTAAAAAAAAAAGCTTTGTCAAGCAACTTTTTGTAATTTGACCTTATTAAATAATGTTAATGTTAACTCGTTATTGTGATGTCAACTTTCTGAAAATAAAAATGATAAAAGTTATGTTAAAATGCAACTATCAGTTGTATGTAATAAAATGTTTAAAATATTATAAATGTCTAATACTGTTTCTAAGGTAACTAAACTTGCACAATTTTAGTCCTAAAGTTTTGGTTACTGCTTTGCTGTGATTGTTGTTTTATTTATGACTTCCAGGAATGACATTGGGATTTTTTGGTACTTGCTTGTCAATAAGGTGAATAAATTATTATATATGAATGAATAAAAACGGTTTTTTAAAAAATTTGCTTCAGTGACTTTTACTTATTTTCCAGTAAGCTATACTGTGGGTTTTTAACTGTATTTTGGGTGAAATAAGAAGCTTCATAATTTAATATTAAAAAAAAAGTTAAATTAAAATACTGTTGCGTCATCGAGTTACATGACTACTGTGACGCAACGTTTCTAGAACTATCATGTACTTTGGTGAATGTTCTAGTTCTTACTAGATATAGGGTAGGCTGGTATATAAGGAGAGAGGAATGTAACGTGTCTGAGTAGATAGTATGTAATTGATCTGCAGTCAGAAGTATTATTGACGTTCGTTGATATAGCGTTGTTTTAGCGCGATTGTTGAAGTTGAGTGTATCGGTAAAGTTATATTCGGAAAGAATAAACCAGTTTTATTAAGTAAAGACTTGTGTCGCTTAAGTTTCGTCGGAACAAAGTTACGGAAAAATCAATTAACAAGCGGAGACGTAACAAATTGGTGTCAGAAGTGGGATAGAAAAAAAAAGAGAAGAAAAATGGAAACGAGAGGCGGAAAATCAAACTACAGCTTAGCAGACTTGATGGCAGCAATACAAAAACAACAAAAGAAACAAGAAGAGGAGAGATTACAGCAGTTGTTGGAGAGAAAAGAAAAAAAAC